GCCACATGGCGAGTCCCAATACTGTCTGTTCAGCTCTCCAACCCCAAACTTCAGTTCTGTGTGTGCATTTCTGTGCATAAAGCCTACTGATGCTCCTCTTGCATACTTTTACCTGGCTAATGGTTTTCATATGGTAAGCACACAAGAAGAGTCCAATCTGGCAGCACCATGTTGCTGTCAATCTTGCCATGGCACATGCAGATGTTGCCTTGTCTGAAAATCCCCCAGCATGCAATAGCACAGCCACACTGTGTGAATCATCTTCCATCCCTGGATAAACTGTAGGTGTCCCACTCGTGGTTTCTTACCTTCCTGCTCACCAGCTCTGCTTTCCAGATCTTGTTACTTCAGTTGCAGTAAGAGTATTTTGTATTTTTCATGCATTCCTGGTATCACTTTAGCATACACCAGATGGACTGTTGGAAAGCTGTGAGGAAGTCAGCCCTATTTAACCCTCCTGGATGTGATGAGAAGTGGCTGTTTCTGCTTTTCACTGAGGTTATAAATTGTATCTCTATAGAAAAAACATTCATAATGAGGTTGTCACAGTAAGGATATACTTGTGATGTGTGATATTTTACAGTATTATCTTGCTTTCCCTTGAAAAAATGGGAGATACTTATTTTTATTAGAAGCGAAATAATGCTTTCAGTATTTCAACAGTGAACTTCCAAACAACTTTTTAAAAGTACCTAACTTTTCTGCAAATAAACTTCCTACACATAAACTTTATTAGTTTTGGCTTCTGCTTTTGTTCTGTCTCCTTGGCTATACTATTAATGTCTTTATGCTCTACAACTCTGACTCAATAAGCAATCCCTCCTGAGAAAACACATGATCAGACTTGTTAGGAAGGAGTTAGTGTACTAATATGGATATGACTTTCTAGGAAACAAAGAGCAGATATTGCTTCACTTTATCAATTAATAAGAATAATATAATTGAATGAGGTTACATTTGAACTCCATTTAAATGGAGTTTAATTTCTAATTTATATTTGGGGTTCTCTGTAACAGCTTTGTTCACATATAATTATGTTGTTTGAATTTATTTCACTTATTTGTACAAATAGTTCAAGTTCCTGTAAATCAGCTGATTTCAATAGTCTTGAACATCAGCTAAGTTCAGCCTTGTATAATCGCTGTGGTTATCCCTTCTTACCTCTCTGCCTTACCTGTGCCGTGCTGCCTCTTTGCCAACCTTGAACATAACACTAGATGGCAGTTTCGATATTTTTTTGGAGTGCTGACATGTGCTTTGGCTGATATAAGCCCTTTATAGAACTCCTTTGGGAGACTTCCCTGGTAGGAATAATGTTAATACACCATTGCTTGACATAGTAAGGGGCAGTCTGAGACTGAAATGTAAGTGAAACACCTGGAAAAAAAATGCATTCTGGGTGCAGCTAACAAGGCAGAACACATTGATTCCATTAAAAACATTATTATCAGTGCAAAAAGTCAGGAACTAAAATTCATTTTTAGCTTTACGATTTTTTAGGTGGACACCAGTTGTAGTTTTTAGACTACATATTTAGATCAGAGCCTTTTCCTGAATGGCTCTGATCTAAATATGTATTCTTCTGGTACAGGAAGTCTAGAATAACTGAAAAAACCTCTTATTTACAGCTATAACAGTTCTCAACAAACAATCAGCCTTCCATAGAGGTGTATAAAACATTTATTTTTTCAAGCAGACTTTTATTATTTGATTCTCTTCTTTAAAACAAAAAGGCTAAGGTCTGTAATTCTCTAATATGAGAAGCAAGTATCATGACTGTCTCTTAGGTCTTAGCATACAAACTACTTAGTATATGGATATTTAATAAAACCTGTTTTAGGTAGAGGCAAGTTAAACATAGCTTTTTTTTGTTTGCTAGACTGAGCTGCTAGCATGCAAAAATATGAAGTTGCAATTCAGCTGGTGGAATCCCATTTTCACCATTTAGAATTTGTTTCCATCACATGTAACTGAAAGACCACAACAAAACAGGTCCTCTCTTTCTGTCAAAGTAAAGAAATACCAAAACATGCATGTTCTACCAGGTGTTTCTTTTAGTAGAACTTTTTCTTCTTCAAATGATTATATACTCTACAGATTAAGCAATGCAAAAATAAACTTCAGTGCCAAGTTTAACTTTGCTCTCTTAAAGCACTTAACCTGTGCTAATTTGCTACAAGCACTTGCACTTGCTGCAGTGTTTACCTGAAAGCAGCTCCTCACTGAGTGAAAGAGCCAATCCCAGCCAGTCAGATGGCCAAGTATCTTCTGAGATCTTACAAGGTGCATATGTGCCTGCATGGAGCTGACACAGGGTGCAAATTCAACCTCTTCTAGGACTGTGTTTATTGGTAATTAAAAAAAAAATTCTATCAGAACTTCCTTGTTTGCTTGGAAATCCAGTTTGTTCCATCAAGTGTCCTGCCCAGCTCTCCCTGCAGCATGAAGTCATTACTTCTACCTTGGATGAAGCTGAGGGCTGAAGATTGTCCAGCTTTTGATAAAATACAAAGCAATTTTCAAAAATGCTTGCCTGTGTTAAAAAACACAGATGTTGGAGCATATCCTTTTCCCAGCCTTTAACATGAAAAAGCTCTTCGATACACAGACCAGCTTCTATCTGTGGGAACCTCTGTGATGTCCCAGGTTTGCAGAGGCAAATAACTTCATTTTGGCCCTTTATCCATAGTACATGCTTTGGTAGCTTACAGATGATGAATAGTAGACCCCAATGAAATTTTCAAGGTAGGAATGTTTTATTTCTCAAGGCAGAGATGTTCAGCATCTATCTAGCAGCTGCATTGTAAGAATTTAGGTGATTTAAATTTTCACGTTTAACGAAGTATCAAGCATATTTCATCTTTTAGAAAGGAAAAATAGCTTTCATCTGTTGTAGTTATAGAATATGTAAGGATGAAGATGATTGACAAAGGTTGATACTGTTGAGTCATTGACTGGTTTATATTCATCTTTTTTCTATTTGCATTGCTTAATGACCTGAAAAAGTTGAACAGTGAGGTAGGAACATATATTGTCACCCATCTTCCTTCTTACAACAGTGGTAGAAAAGAGTGACTGAGGTGAGCAGGTCATTTTGACTCCCGTGTATCTTCACATTTTGCTTCCAAGTGCAGCCTCCTCTATTGCTGTGAATACTACTGATCTCTGTCGCAGAACTCTTCTTGGTTTATGCTTTAAAATTGTTTAATATAGCTGGTCAAACTGCAACTCGTGGTCTTACAAGTAGTCAGCGTGGCTCCTCCACCAATTTAATCTCCTGTGTTTGGGAGTGAGGTTATGCTGGCACAGGTGCTGGTGGCTGACCTGAATTCCCAGCACACAGGAGGAAATCAGCCCTGAGATGCAGCTGAAGATGGAAATTCTTGGGGCGTCCTGGACCCTGGATGTACACCCAGCCTAGTCCTGTATCACCCAGGGCTGTCCTCATCCTGCTCAGTACCTGCTCCCCCCCTCCTCAGTTCTCCAAAGTGCATAGTATGCTTCTCATGGATTTTTGTCACGTTTTGACTACCTCTCTTTGGATTTTTAACTCTTGCTTTTTTAATAGATCTCGCAAATTTTTAATAGAATTAGCTGCTCATTTTAGCTTCTCTATTATAGAAAGCTAGTAAAAATAAAAATAAAATAAAAGCCACTTCCACCTAGAAAAAAATCCCTAAAAAATAGTAAATATGCATTTGGATTCCAAAAGTGTATGGTGTTGCCTATATGATGCTGACATTAAATGAAGCTGACAAGTTCAAAAGTGCTGCAAAGCAGAAAACCTTAGATTTAGTGATACAGCCAAGTTATATCAGCTTACACAAAAGGCTGATAGCCCAAGGATATCAACTAGGTTATTTGATACAAACCAGAGTCAGCTGGAGTCAGATGTGCGCATGCAGCACAAAATTTTGTTAAGTCTTTTTGTACAATAAAGCTAATAAAACAGACGTGCTTGCTCTTTTTAAGTAATTGACTTTTTTTCCGTGTTCTACTTCCTTATGCTAGAGCATCCTGTTAACACAGTCCTCAACAATATACAATATGTAGTCCCTTTGCAACATTCACCATCAGAACAAATTTCTACTTTCTGTCTGATCCATAACACTAATCATATTTAGGACCCATTTTCACAGGAAATTTGTTTGAAAGCTTTGCTATTCAGCTTCAGCTCCAAAATGCTTATTTAGCATTTTGGAAAATAACCCATACAGTCCCTGATGGTGTACTTCTCCGGGAGGACAGCTCTACAGGGAAATTTAATAGATGCCATCTCCTTTGGGAACAGGCTTACAGTTGTCTCTTGTTAGAAATTTATTTTAGAAGCCACAAATGCATATGAAGAGAGCTACACAGCTAAAGACAGGTTGTTAATCACCATGAATGCTAATAGCTGTGAAATTATCTTCTAGGATTTATATTACTAAAATATCCTACCCAGTTAAAAATGCCCTCTTTTCCCTGTTTTTGCAGAAGTCATCACATATATTGTACTACTATTCTTTCAATAAATTTATGTTTAAAAATGGGGAGTGAGCAGCACATACCACTTGGGTCCTGGACAATGCACCCTGTTATCTTCTATCTTCTGGAAAACTAACTTCTGCATTTAGTTACAGCCTGGTAAATAGGCACTTTCATCTCCCCGTCCTCTAAGTCCTCTAAGCTATACACTTGAGCAGCTCCGTACACTGGTAGTCCAGGCACTCAGAGAAATTGCCTGCATACAGTCACTTTAAAAAAAAACACTGCACTGTATTCTTTATCCTATATAAGGCTGATTGAAGGTATAAAATGCTTGAAGTTAGTTATCTGAACCTGGAAAAAAATCCTAATTGAAAACCGAATGGTTATACTGTTATTGGAAAATTATCCCACTGTGTACAGAAGGCACTCTGTGGCAGGGTGGTGAAAGTTCAGGTATTTCAAACACTTGAGATCTTGGCAGCTTGAACTAAAGAATATTTACATTATGTAAAACTTTTTCTGATGCCTTTTATTCATGTGTCTGTAGCTTGTGGCTCAATCCATAAAAGCTTTTCTATCTTCCCAACCCAATAAAATTTTAAAATGTTCATGTGGACAGAAGAGCAGGCCCAAGAAGAGGATGTTCATAGAGACATAACTTCTATTCCTTGTTATTAGCTGTCTCTGAAACACATGGAAAAATTAATTTAGTGATTAATTGAAGGTACAACTTGATATTCACAACATCTCACAGAATTCAAAGTGAAAGTTCCCTGGAAGCATCACAGGATGAAGGGGATATCTGTTCTTCTCCCAGATCTGTAAGAATGTTCTGTGTCGACCTGAAATGACCACAAGCAGCCACTGGCTCTGCTTCCTCTTGCCCCATCATGTTCATACAGTCTTCCTCTCACAGACATTAACATCACCTCTGTATTATGCTGCAACAGTCTCGTGCTCCTCCCCACCCTGCTGCCTTTTCTCTTAACAACTTTTGAAATCACTGGATCCTTTCAGTCATATCTGACATAGAGGCAGGCATCTCATGGACATTAAATCTTAAATAAGGACAAGAGACATAGGGCATAAATTCAAGTAACTGAGTATTAAATATAAGAAAATATTTTCTTTTTTTTTTCTTTAAGGACAATGGACTGATGAGAATTGACTGCCCACAATTTATGGAATCTCCATCCTTGGGGATTCAAAACCCAACAGGACAACCTGTTCCAGCTGACCCTGCTTTGTGCAGGACTAGACAAGCTTCAGAGGCCCCTTTCTACCTTAGCCATTCTGTGACAAAGTATGGTTGGGGGACCAGCCCCTGAAACTACTGATGTTAACCATCAGCAGCTGAGAAGTTCTGAGGCTCACTGGCTTCCTTGATAGCTAAAAAAAAAAGTGGCCAAGGGGATGATTGGCTGAAATCACAGTGTCAGACCACCCAAGCTCAAAGTACTTCTTTCCCAGCCAGAAGACGCTGCAAGGATAGATTGGGAACATGAGAACACGGCACTTCCTCATAGTGAATAATGGTGTTCCATGAGGGTGGGAAGGTGGGAAATTTGCATGGGAATCAAGTTGAGTGACAGACATCCAACTGCAGTGACTGACTGTGACAAAGACAGTTAATTAGCATGAAGATGGCTAATGTAGCATGAAAAATAACCAACTACGTTTAATGGTTTTGAATTTTTTTAATTCAACACACTTAGCATGTCACTGAGCATTCGTTCAGAGATGGATTGTGGCTACCTTTAGAGCAATATTTTTTTGCACTAGGAAAAGCTCATATCCTCTTAGCTGTACCCTCTCAGAGGCAAGGCTCTGAATGGTTTTGATGTCTCTCAAAATAAGAATTTTTTCATTCCCTTAAGCCATTCTGTTTCCCTGCCCAGAATCTTGTTTTAGTTCTTCAATATCCTTTCAAGATGAAAGAATTGCTCTCTTACACAACAGCATCCCAGGTTTAAATGGTCGCTATTCCATTCTTAACATTGTTTTCTCCTCTTGCCCGCAGCCATTCTCTGAGCTGTGTGCATCAATGCATTCCTATCATCTGAAATGCATTACAGACACAGAAGCGGGGCTGCTTTTTCTGCTTCCCTACAAAACTGTTGAGGGGAATATTGTCAAAGCGGGAAAATGCAGAAAGTATTTCAATAAAGCTGTAATTATCACATGATGAAATTTCTGGATTCTGGAAGTATTCGAGGCCAGGTTGGATGGTGCCCTGAGCAACCTGATCTAATGGCAGGAGGGCTGGAACTAGATGATCTTTAAGGTCCCTTCCAATACAAGCCTTTCTATGATTCTCTTACTCTTCAGGAGCAGGAAGCTCTTCTTTAAACTGTTCTTTGATTCTCCCAGAATCAAGTGCTTTGCTGAGCTCAGCACAGAGAGATAATTCTTTGCAAAAGCATATGGGCAAGACATTAAAAACAAGTTGATTGAATAGAATTGTTTTGACTTCATAAGCAAAGCTATATGGCATAAATCTAAAAATTCTGCAAAAGCACACTTGTCAGTGGCCAACATCTGCTTGTCCTCACAGGCTAGCTTAATAAGTAGCAGTATAGAGGGGAGCAACTGCCAAACATGAAAATTAAAGGGAGGTGAGTAATTTTACTTGAGTAATCACAAAGTCATAAAGGGACTTATGCCTTGACCATCACCCTACTGGTCTTCCAGGCTGCAGTGCTTGTGCGAAAAACATTTTCCTTAGACTTGTAGCACAAGTGGAACAAGCTGGCTTGCTGCTGGGAGCTCAAAGCTGACATATACTAGCTTATACTGGTGTATGCTAGCATTGGGAAGGAACCAAAAACTTCTCATCCCAGGCACAAGAGGTTCATTTGGAAGTCATGAAAGGCACTGGTGTAAGGTATCTACTCCCCTTTCTGCTAAAGCTGTCCTCAATTACAGAAATACTCACTATCCCGGAGACATTTTGAGCATAGCTACAAATGGTGGTTAGGAGAGAGGGGAGAGGGGAAAGATGGTTTCATCATGCACTAAGTTCAACAGGGGAAGGCAGGAGGTGCCTGTGTTGCCTGCTCATCGCTTTTCACATTTCAGCAATACCACAGGGTAATCTGTGGTGGTGGAATCACCATCCCTGAAAGTGTTTAAAAAACATGTGGATGTAGAACTTAAGGACGTGGTTTACTGGTGGACCTGGCAGTGACGGGTCAACAGTTGGACTCAATGATCTTAGAAGTATTTTCCAACTTAAATAATTCTATTATTCTAATTCTGTCTTCTGGGGCATGTAATCACCTTATGTGATGGACTTGAGTGTGGGATTCTTAGTGAACGTGGAGGAAGAAAAAGAAATAACTTTTGCAGAAAGACTGTCTTGACAGAATTGTGACCATAATTTCAAAGTCTGCCAGAGGGATAATCCCATCTCCTCGAATTTTTCTCTTCACTGGTGTGATGAATTTTCAAAGGCACTTTATTTGGCCTCTGACTTTTTCTTCCCACCATGTGACTACATTTGTTGTGCAATGTGCTTTCACCGCAGCACCACACTGCTGATTCCAAGTGATATGAAGAACGAGGGGATCTAAAATGACTGACATAGAATGGAAATCACAAAGCAGCTTTAAGGCTTAGCTCACAAAAAGAAGCCTGCAAATAATAATGAGCAGAGTCATGATTTTAACACAGGTTTTTATTTTCCAAGACTGCATGTCACAGTCTAGCATACTCTCCAAAGCTGGATAATTTATCTCTGGTAAGGCTCATGTATTGTATAAAGACGACCCATGTAAAAAGCATGACTTCCAATTGATTGCTTCCAAAAATGTCTCTTAATGTAAACAAAAGTATTTATGATGCTCTCGTGTTAAATGCAGAAAGCAGCTGCCTGCCGGTAGGGGAATGACAAGAAGTGCTCATTAAGGACAGCACAGTATTTTCTGTCTCCTAAACAATAACCCCTGTGGTCCTTCCCTCCTCTGTCAACGTACCCATCTCTGTCGCTGCTGCACTATCCACAGCTTCTCCTGTTTCTTCTTTTGTTTCAGGCCCTCCACTTACTGTCTCACTGAGCAGCTCAGTTTCCACCTGTTCTCCCGTCTCACCTGGGAATGGTAACCATGGAGATCAAATTAGCATCCACTGAGAAAAGCACCAAGCACCCCAGCTCCCTTCTGTAAACCTAATTTTGCTTTGTCAGCTCTCCAATGCCCCTTACCAAGGTACCCCTGAATGAATCCATAGACAACAAACAGGATGATCCCATCCAGCTATATGCATGCCTCGTGCCCATGAAGTTCTCCTTATGCTTTCCCCTTGATGCTATATCCAAAAAACATCATGAGTACTATTTCTGTTCAAATTATTTTTCCTGGATTTTATTTTATATATGTGTAGTTTTATTTGCAATTGGAACAAAACAGATATAGAAAACATGGTAACGTGCCAGTTTGGTTGAATTTGTGCTTTCCCTGGGAAGTTGCTCCCTGATTCATTTCCTCACACAGCTATGGAAGCATAAAGGAAAGTGAAACAAATGCTAAGTATCTTATGCACCATAGCATAAAAATGTAAAGACTCTTCATCATATGCCTCATGGAAAGAGAATGCACACAAGTTAAGATATTTACATCTAGCTTGGAAGTAATAGGAGCAAAACTCTTTTTCCTAAAGTCTTCACACATCATTTGGTGCTCAAAGCCCCACAACTCATCTTCAGCCAAACAGTCAACTGTAAATGTGTTTGCACAGACATGAAGTGGCAGAGCAATGTTCAGTGTATGCTACTCTGCCTTCAGCATTCTGCCCTGAGGCTTAGAAATCGTGATTAATGAGTTTGCAACTGGGCAAGACTATGTGTTTAACAGGTGAGCATCCTGTCATTTACTCATTACATAAAATGAAGCTGTATGCCTAAGGATAGATGCCCATGTTATGTAGAGGAAACTTCAAAATTCTTTTGTGGAGAGACACAGGAGAGGACAAAGTAAGTCAACCACCCTGCTCAGCTACTGGAATGCAAAGAGTGAGATTTATACAGCCAGTTCAGAGACATGCAGAGCAAAGCCACAGGATTAGTGGTAGCGTGTGTAAGCGGTTCTGGACTTCACACAGACCAGTCCTTCTCCTGCATCTTGCATTTCTTCAAGGCAAATGTGGAGTGAGGAAGGCTGCTGATACCATGTTTCCCTGCAGAGAAATATTCCTCTTTGTGCTTCGCTTGCTTGTTCCCTGAAAAAAAGCTCCCCCAGGATGTATCTGATTCCTTACCAAGCTACTTTGTACAATTCAAGAGAAATTCGACTCCTCCTGTGAAGTGTTCATCTTTTGCATGTGCAGTCCATGCATTTGGGCACCAACCCAAAGATGAGCATAGCCTACAATTTTCAGGAACAAGCACATCTCCCAGTAAAGGTCCCTCTCACTGCACATGGAAATATCTGCCATCTCAGACACCACTGCCTCCTCATGCAGCCTTCCTCCACCGCTGGTCATCTCCAGACATTTTTTGAAAGCCCAGCCCAATGTCCCTCTGCTACTACTTCTGTTTAGCTTGTCTAGTAGCCAAGGCTCTAGGACAGACTGGATATGCCAGGCATACATCAGAGATGCTTTTTCTCACACATCCAGGCAGCCTCCAACTTTATGTGCCCAGGCAGAGTTGCTTTATAATTAATACATGTGACTAAGTAATGGAGCCTTTGGGCTCTGCAAATATTAAGGAATGTGTCTGAGCTATACAGAGACACAATGTTTTAAATGAGGGGTACGGTGGGGCATTTTACCTGCTAAGAACAAAAAGGACATGAAATGAAGTAGCAGAGATAATGACTGGAAATGCTGATTAAATTTATTACAGCTTGGACTTGTAAATCTGAGGCTTCCTCACCCACATTCTTCTACGCTCCACATAGTACAGACTTCCAGGACCAAATTCTGACTCCAGAAGCTCTTGTGAGGCTCTTAGTAAAGTCAAAAGTACCCACACAGATGTCTCTGGAGGCAAAATTCGGTCTCCTGAATTTATGAAAGTACAAATATTACCCTCAATGAGGTGGTCCTCTTCAGTAATATGTACTTTATCCATGACTTCCACTACAGAGCTGTCACTGCCCTCTACCAGCCCACTGTCCTCAGCTGGTCCTGGTGATGGTGCCCCAACATCTTCTGGTGCTGCAGGTGAAGGCCCATTGCCCTCCTCTCTCCACACAGAAGGCAGCTCAGAGCTTTCCTCTGCTCCTGCAGGCAGGGGCTCGGTGCCCTCCGGCTCCTCCCTTTTACTGACTGTCTTCTCCTCAACATCCAGAATCATGGCTTCAGCCTCCTCTCCTGGCAGATGCTCTCCTAGGTTTGTCTCCTCAGAGGCAAGGCTCACATTCTCTTCTGGGTCCAAATGTGTTTGGTCAGCTATGGTTTCATGATTGTCTGCAGTCAAGGTGTTTGCACCTGATGATGCTTTTAGTTGCAGAAGGGCAAAGAAAGAAAAAAGAGAATTGGTGAGTAGTAAGCTCGATGAAAACTAAACCCACAATGAACCGCATAAGCACTACCTGTCAAAGAGCTCCCTCCTGGCTAGGAACATACCCTCTCACAGGTGTGCTGCACATATCCACAAATATCCCATAGAAGATGGTGCTGCTTTTACACTAAAAGGAGGTTTTCATTTGAAGCATATCATATATTTTTATATGAAGAGAGCCGACCTGTTTACAGGTCACTGTCCTATTACATTTTGCCTTATGTATCTGAAGTGTGCAGGTGGTTTGCAGGTGACAGGACACTATGCAAGGAAGCACCTTATCCTGCCCCAAACCAAGCACAGGATCAATGTGATGAATGTGAGGGAGCTGCTGGTCTGGGCTGCACGTGGGAAAATTCTCCAGGTGGGCTCAATGAAAAACCCTGAGAATGTTCTCATTCTGAAGGACGAGCAGTGCCCACTTCTTAAAACAAAAACTGATTTGTCTGTCTTTTTCAATACCAAACTACCATTCATAGTACGCTCTGTCTAATAAAAAAATCAGTAACAGGAAGCCTAAACAAATTAACTTCCACTTCTTTCATCTTTCATCAACTTATTGGCTAGAAAAGCAATGGGTTTTGGCAGAAAAGAATTATGAATAAAGAACTGACAAAATTACTCTGACAGGTATTTAAGTATGAAAATTGAAGACTCAGAATGAGCTATACCTACCTATCAGACTGATTTAATAATGTTCTGATTAAATTCAATTTGACAAGAGCTTGCAGTTAACCTTCTTCAAAGGAATGCCAGGATGAAAACCCTAGTTATTCATGTATGAAATATTTATATAATAATTACACAACTGGAAAAATGTTATTTTCTGAGAAAATTATGATTGCGTTGTCAAAGCCAGTAAGCAGAATCATATGATACTGTTCACAGATGAACACATCTATGTGTGATCATACAGACATAGATGAACAGCAAAAAAATGTAATACCTCCTGCTCTTAAAACAGCTGGTTGAATACTGCTGCTTTAAAGTAACTTCACAGTTCTTTTGAGGCATTCAAGCAAAACACCTTGCCAGCAAGTGTCACCTAGTCAGCATGTGCCTAGAGAAACAGGGAAGGATAGCTAAGCAGGAAGAAGAGCAAGAACTGGGAATCTGGACTGTCAAGATGGACAGAAAGCAACTTTGACTACAACATAGATAAAATCTCATTTGTCCCAAGATCTGTAAACCCATCCAAGTTCCAACCATGCCCTCCAAATCCACATAGATATGGCTATTTATAACACAACTCGAACAACAGGAGATAAGTTCAGCTACGCGTGTTAGACCACAGAGCCCCCAAAGGACAGCACCAGCCTCTGACAGCTGTCAAGGGACAGGGAAAGGACAGATGGTCCCAAACCACGGGGCTGAGCTTCAGTCCATCAGTGGACATTCCTCTGTCAACCTGCCCAAGCCCTTTTCAATCCATTTACTCTCAGCCTCCCCCATGACCAGTGGCAATGAGAGCTGCAGCCCACTTATACCCCCTGCAAAACACATTCTGGCTGGTTTTAAGCCTGATGCAAGTGATTTCATTGAGTGACAGTTCTTGTGTTACAAGAAACAGCAAATATATTTCCCCTGATTACCTTCTCTTGATCTCTATCACACCTCGTCTTCCAGGCACTCATTTTCCTAACATGAAGCTCAAGGTGAAACAGATACCCAATTGGAATAACAGCAAGTAAATCTTAAACCTAAAGCTACTCTAAGCAGTGATTAAAAAAAAGCAATGTATGCTCAGAGACCAGAGACTTAATCTTTTCACATTCTTATTTTTCATCTCTTTGGACACTTCTAAATGCCTTCACCTTGCTTGGTGTCAGGAGCATTTAAAACTTATGGACAGAAATAAATGAGCCATTCAAATTAAAATGTTTTCAATTGGTGTTAGCAGTAAAAAAAAAAACCTCAGACCTATTATTACTGGGAATCTCCTGCAGCTTCTATAAATATCAGCCTTGTAACTTCCAGCTAGCCTTCTCTTCATCAAGATCTTTTATATAAATTGGATTTATAAAATACTGCCATGCAACATGAGATCTGCACTGTTGGAAACCCTGGAAGCATTCCTCTGCTCTCATCTGAAATGCAAAGAATTCCCTAATACGGAAAAAAAAATCCTCACAGTAATCTATTCAATACCTTTATCCCCCAGAAGAATGAACATCATGTGGCAATCAACATTCCTAGGATTCTGGCTAGTTTTGTTTTATTTTTAAATTTATAATTTTTATTTTCCCTGCTGTAGATAATTTCGGCTGGAAAAACAATGACAAACACAGTGAATTTAAGTGGGCCATGGCAACAGTATTTTTCCCTTTGCCTTCTTTCTTTCCTTTTGGAAAAGCCTCAAATTTTTGTTTTTATTAAATACATTTAATAAAATTAATTTTATTTTAAATACATTTATACATTAAATGTACATTTCCCCACATTAACACCTTTGAATAAGTTTTTTTTTCCAATTTGTCCTTTCTTATTAAACTAGATTTAAAATTATTAACATACCTGGCTGGTAACTGCCCAATTAATGGAGATCTTTCATCTGTAATTACAAACTGCACTTCATCCTTACCATGACATTAATTTACATATTTATTACATTTCATAACCTATCCTGACATGAACAGGTGCCTAGACAGAATTCTTAAAATACTCATAATAAATTAGTTCAGTTATTTCCCTGAGCCCTTCAGTGTTCCTGTGCGAACATCTTTCAGTGGAGGATGGAAAGGCAGAGGAATTGGTACACTGACCAGGTGAACAAGACAGCAGGCACAGGATAAAGAGATTTCTGCCGGGTACTTTCAGCTGGGCTCCTCAGTTTGCAAATGTATGTTGGCTCTGTAGTGGCACCGACAACACTCACCCCATACAACCTGCTATCGTCTCTGCAGTCACAAGCCACAGCATTGCCAGACAACACATGGAAAATAAACCCATATAGAAAACATGGATGCTGCAGCCAAAATAACAGCAAGTACTTATAACGCGAGAATATAAGAAAGAAATGCAGCAAAATTAAGTGCAAACAACATTTATGTATATGCCTTCAGGAAGTATGTTTCTCGAGAAGCCAATATCTGTAACTGTAGCATGCAGGTTCATATGAAAACGGTTCCAAACCTTCCTTGGAGCAGAGAGCTAAGTGTGATGAATATGGAAACAAAGTTTTATTTTATTTCCACTGAATAGCAAGGATATTCTTATGCAACATTCTACAAATACACCTTGCACACAAAATTAGTCTGCTGTGACTTGAGCCAGTCAAAGCCACAGGAGCATCGCCGGTGCTGCAAACAGTGTCGGGGGTGAATTTTGTCAAAACCCAGGAAGGATAGTTGCGTCAGGTATTGCTAGCTCACTATTCTTTTAAAGGAGGGGGGAAGGGGGAAAGGCACTGGGTTGAATAGGTGCTACACGAAACGGCCAACAGCAGGACCTGTCTGGAAATTAAAAAACAAACAAACAAACAAGCTGGCGGAAAGGAGCGGAAGGGGACTTAGGCATTCATTCACAAGAAACAACAGTTTCGAAGCATCGCTCACGGAGCGCAGTTCCATCCACAGCTCAGGTAGAATTGAAAGCCGGGAGAAGCCCGACAGGCTCCTGCCCCGCGGGGTTTCTGCGGGTCGCGCACCCGCAGCTGGACGGGACGGGACCACCTCGCGGCTGAGAGCACCGTGGCCTCCCACCCTCAGCACCCGCCTGCACCCCCCGGCCCAGCTCACCCTGGCCCTGCTCACCACGGCCCGGCTCACCCCGGCCCGGCTCACCCCGGCCCGGCTCACCCCGGCCCGGCTCACCCCGGCCCGGCTCACCCCGG